CTGCCAGGCTGGGAGCGGCCAGGCCCGGGGGAGCAGGCGGGTCGGGTGCGGCCAGGCCCGGAGCAGCGGCTGCCAGGCTGGGAGCGGCCAGGCCCGGGGGAGCAGGCGGGGCTGGTGCGGCCAGGCCCGGAGCAGCGGCTGCCAGGCTGGGAGCGGCCAGGCCCGGGGGAGCAGGCGGGGCTGGTGCGGCCAGGCCCGGAGCAGCGGCTGCCAGGCTGGGAGCGGCCAGGCCCGGGGGAGCAGGCGGGGCTGGAGCGGCCAGGCCCGGAGCAGTGGCTGCCAGGCTGGGAGCGGCCAGGCCCGGGGGAGCAGGCGGGGCTGGTGCGGCCAGGCCCGGAGCAGCGGCTGCCAGGCTGGGAGCGGCCAGGCCCGGGGGAGCAGGCGGGGCTGGTGCGGCCAGGCCCGGAGCAGCGGCTGCCAGGCTGGGAGCGGCCAGGCCCGGGGTAGCAGGCGGGGCTGGTGCGGCCAGGCCCGGAGCAGCGGCTGCCAGGCTGGGAGCGGCCAGGCCCGGGGGAGCAGGCGGGGCTGGTGCGGCCAGGCCCGGAGCAGCGGCTGCCAGGCTGGGAGCGGCCAGGCCCGGGGGAGCAGGCGGGGCTGGAGCGGCCAGGCCCGGAGCAGCGGCTGCCAGGCTGGGAGCGGCCAGGCCCGGGGGAGCAGGCGGGGCTGGTGCGGCCAGGCCCGGAGCAGCGGCTGCCAGGCTGGGAGCGGCCAGGCCCGGGGGAGCAGGCGGGGCTGGTGCGGCCAGGCCCGGAGCAGCGGCTGCCAGGCTGGGAGCGGCCAGGCCCGGGGGAGCAGGCGGGTCGGGTGCGGCCAGGCCCGGAGCAGCGGCTGCCAGGCTGGGAGCGGCCAGGCCCGGGGGAGCAGGCGGGTCGGGTGCGGCCAGGCCCGGAGCAGCGGCTGCCAGGCTGGGAGCGGCCAGGCCCGGGGGAGCAGGCGGGTCGGGTGCGGCCAGGCCCGGAGCAGCGGCTGCCAGGCTGGGAGCGGCCAGGCCCGGGGGAGCAGGCGGGTCGGGTGCGGCCAGGCCCGGAGCAGCGGCTGCCAGGCTGGGAGCGGCCAGGCCCGGGGGAGCAGGCGGGGCTGGTGCGGCCAGGCCCGGAGCAGCGGCTGCCAGGCTGGGAGCGGCCAGGCCCGGGGGAGCAGGCGGGGCTGGTGCGGCCAGGCCCGGAGCAGCGGCTGCCAGGCTGGGAGCGGCCAGGCCCGGGGGAGCAGGCGGGGCTGGTGCGGCCAGGCCCGGAGCAGCGGCTGCCAGGCTGGGAGCGGCCAGGCCCGGGGGAGCAGGCGGGGCTGGTGCGGCCAGGCCCGGAGCAGCGGCTGCCAGGCTGGGAGCGGCCAGGCCCGGGGGAGCAGGCGGGTCGGGTGCGGCCAGGCCCGGAGCAGCGGCTGCCAGGCTGGGAGCGGCCAGGCCCGGGGGAGCAGGCGGGTCGGGTGCGGCCAGGCCCGGAGCAGCGGCTGCCAGGCTGGGAGCGGCCAGGCCCGGGGGAGCAGGCGGGGCTGGTGCAGCCAGGCCCGGAGCAGCGGCTGCCAGGCTGGGAGCGGCCAGGCCCGGGGGAGCAGGCGGGGCTGGTGCGGCCAGGCCCGGAGCAGCGGCTGCCAGGCTGGGAGCGGCCAGGCCCGGGGGAGCAGGCGGGGCTGGTGCGGCCAGGCCCGGAGCAGCGGCTGCCAGGCTGGGAGCGGCCAGGCCCGGGGGAGCAGGCGGGGCTGGTGCGGCCAGGCCCGGAGCAGCGGCTGCCAGGCTGGGAGCGGCCAGGCCCGGGGGAGCAGGCGGGTCGGGTGCGGCCAGGCCCGGAGCAGCGGCTGCCAGGCTGGGAGCGGCCAGGCCCGGGGGAGCAGCCGGGTCGGGTGCGGCCAGGCCCGGAGCAGCGGCTGCCAGGCTGGGAGCGGCCAGGCCCGGGGGAGCAGGCGGGTCGGGTGCGGCCAGGCCCGGAGCAGCGGCTGCCAGGCTGGGAGCGGCCAGGCCCGGGGGAGCAGCCGGGTCGGGTGCGGCCAGGCCCGGAGCAGCGGCTGCCAGGCTGGGAGCGGCCAGGCCCGGAGCAGCAGCAGCCAAGTCCAGAGCAACTAGGTTGGGAGTGGCAGTGACCAGACCCGGAGCAGCTGGTTGTGGAATGAACCAGAGCAACAGAGGCCAGGCCCTGAGCAGCCAGCCCCAGAACAGCTCGCTCCTTGCCTGCCCCTGCCCCACGGCTGCTTCTCAGACATGGATGGAAACTTTCGTGGGAACTTGAGTGTCTGCTGAATCAAGTGATGAAGGCTTAGATCTGGATGTGTTGAGTTAGTTTAGGATTGGGGTGTTGATCTGTGAGTGCCTTGGGTGGGGCCTGGATGAGGCTGGTTGACCTAGTGGGAAATGTCTTTTGTGTGAAGTGTATCATTGGGCATGTGGAGGTATTATTGATATGAGAAAATGCTAAGTAACTGATTTACTATCTGAAAAGGGATTTACTATTGGGGAAATTGAGGGAAGAAGAGACTGAACATAAACTGCACCTATGGATGAGGACAATGGGGGATGGGGGGGGACGGAGGGTGGGGTGGGAACCTGGTGGAGGGGGGAAGAAATGAGGAACCTTTGTAATAATATGAACAATAAAGATTGCTAAAAAAAAAATAATAAAAAAAAAATAAAATAAAAAAAAAAAATAAAAAAAATAAATAAATAAAAAAAAAAAAAAAAAAAAAAAAAAAAAAATAAAATAAAATATTTCTTCTGGCCGAAACCGGTTTGGCTCAGCGGTAGAGCGTCGGTCTGCGGACTGAAAGGTCCCAGGTTCGATACCGGTCGGGGGCATGTACATTGGTTGCGGGCACATCCCCGGTAGGAGGTGTGCAAGAGGCAGCTGGTTGATGTTTCTCTCTCATCGACGTTTCTAGCTCTCTAACCCTCTCCCTTCCTCTCTGTAAGAAAAATCAATAAAATCTATTTTAAAAAAAAAAAAAAAAAAAAAAAAAAAAAAAAAAAAAAAAAAAGAATTTCCTGATTGGAGGAAGGGAGAAATCCAATGTCTCAGGTGCAGACCTTTCAATAACACACTTGAAAGTATTAGTATACTTATGCAGGAATGATTCAGTTTGTGTTTTTAATATATATTATTGATTTTGGAGAGGAAAAGGAGAGGGAGAGGAAGATAGAAACATCAATGAGAGAGAATCATTGATCAGCTGCCTCATGCACGCCGCCTACTGGGGATTGAGCCCATAACCCAAGCATGTGCCCTGACCAGGAATCACACTGTGACACCCTGGTTCATAGGTCAATGCTCAACTACTGAGCTACGCTGCCCAGGCTGGTATGTTTTAGTTAGAATACAAATAAGGGATGGGTTCTTAAAATGCATAATCGGTGGGGGAGGGACTGATAACTATTCATGGAAGTAGTGAGGGAGGGAGGGTCTGTCCCTATTTTTGTCATTTATAGAAGTGGATATGGGGACGGGGACTTCTTCCAGAAAGGGCAGAGCAGCACCTTGTTGTCTCTGCCAGGCACTTGTGGGGCCCATGCCTTCACCACAGTGTGAGCTGCTCCAGAGGGTGAGGGGCCAACAGGCAAGTGCACATTGAAACTAGGCTCCAAGGTTGCTGGCACTTTACCCAAGATCACCCCTGCCTCACTGGCTGCTCTGCTCTCCTTCCCATAGCCCAAGTGGGAGTCCAGGACCTTTTGGTACAAGTTCCTCAAACCTGGCGATCACAGGATGGATTCCTGGAGACCACAGGAGCTCCTTACTAGGTCCCCTACCTGCTGAGGCAGCCCCTCAGCTCCACCCCCACCATCATCATGCTGAAAATTTTTTATTAGGAAACAAAATCTAAATGCAATGTATGAATATTCATTAGGATGGGAGATTAATATGCATAATCATGAAAATTAGATAGCAATTAAACACCAGTTCTCTGGGGAAAATGATTAACACAGTGCCACCAAAATAGAAGGATACAGTTTGAAGGAAGCAGGGGCAGGCAGGATTTGGGATGGAGTGTATGGAAAACTCCAACATATGGGATTGGAGGTAGATTGGGAGTGGGGTTGTGTGGTACAGGTGGCCCCCTCTTCTCTTGTCGTTCTCCCCCTCCACTCCCCCGCCTTCCCTAATTTTGCCAAGTGGACTTATTCATAATACTATTTACAGAGGAGGGGAACTGAGGCACAGAGAAGGAGGGGCCTGGGACTGATCCACAAGGGATGGTGTGGGAGCTCTGGCCCAGGAAGGATGCAGGCCTAGGCTTCTTGCTCCAGGGGGGGAGACTCTGGGTCCTGGGTGGGTGCCTGGTGCCTAGAAGAGTGTCCGGGGAGATAAGGGCCCCACCCTGCCCTGCCTTGCCCCTTGAGACCAAGATTCTCTCCCCACTCTCGTTAACCTGGGCTGTACCTGGACTTCTGTCCCAGCCTGGCAGGCAGGTGGCAGGAGCCTTGGTGGTTTGTCTCTAATGGAGACTGGGTTCTGCCAGTCTGCTTAGTGGATAGTCAGTGACAGCTGCTGCTATTTCAACAAAGGGGTGGCCCTCCTCCTGAGTTAGCAGGATGGGCAAGGGGAGATTCGCACTTCCCAAGATCCAAGCTGATACTCATGATCCATTTGCTGTGCCTTTGTGAGACTGAGCCTGACACACAAGCCCCAGCCAGTGTGATCAGGGCTGGGGAAGGATACGCAGTGTGAGTGAGGGCTCTGCCCAGGGTAGGCATGGTATATAGGGGTTTGATGAATGAATGGATAGGAGTTTACCAGCAGTGACATCTGGTAGAAATTGTTTACTGAGCTGCAGACCTAGGAATATGCCAAATGCCAGGATGTCTTGGACACTTTACCACTGACAGTGGTGTCAGTACAGCAGAACTAGAGTCGGGTGAGGTTGGAGCCCTGAAGCTAGTCTGGATTGGGATGGGCCCAGAAGTCATGCCGAATCGAATGAGGGCTCCTCTCCTGAGGTGATGAGGACAAGAGCTAGAACTGACTTTAGAGCTGGCCAGGAGTAAGGGTGACCCTCTCTCTCTTCCTTTCCTGCAGGTCTGGAGGACCGGCCCAGCTCGGGTTCTTGGGGCACTGGCGACCAGAACAGCTCCTCCTTCGACCCCAGCCGGGTGAGGAGCTATTGCCCGGCCTGAGACCCTTAGATTCCCTTTTCCAGGAGAGGGGCCCATATGAGGAAACTAGGGCTTAGAGGCGGAAGTTGGATACCAACCTAGTCTGCAGGGACTTGGGGCTTAGATATGTGGGTTAAAGTCATGACTCGGGTACTTAGAAGCATGCCTGCCTCCCAAGCCCGTGTCCCCACCTGTAACAGGTGCCCCAGCACCTCATCCCCACCTGTCTCTCTACAGACCTACAGCGAAAGTGCCCACTTCAGTGAGTCCCATAGCAGCCTCTCTTCATCTACATTCCTGGGAGCGGGGCTTGGAGGTGAGTGTCTTTGGAGCACAGCCCTTTCCCCACACCCACGTGGGGTCCCTGGGGAGTGGTCAGTGCACGCAGTAGCAACACTTCCGGGACAGAGGATGCAGGTGGATATGGCCTAGACGTATAGCTTTCCCCCTGGGTCAGTGGGCCTGACCAAGTCCCCACCAGGAAGTACACTTGGGCAGCCTGGTGACTCAAAAGATTGGAGCCTGCTCTTACTGATCATGAGAATCAGCTCAGCAGGCCTGCGCTAGAATTCCACTCACTAGTCCCGGTTTAGACTGTCTCCTCTTTAGACTCAGCTTCCCCACCCATAGGATAGGGATAGTCTCAGAAACTTTCTCTTACAGGTTGTGAGGCCTTGTCCAACATTCCGGGTTCCATGACAGACAGACACACACACACACACACACACACACACACACACACCTGCCCCCTTATCTCGCAGATGAGCAAACAGAGGACTAGCAAGAAAGGACCTGTCCAGGGTCTGTGGCTGGTCATTGCTGACAAGGATTCTGTCCACTGGGACTGTTGGCCTGGACTGTTGTCCGCTGTGCCATTCCTCCCACCAGGGGACCATCCAGGTGCCTTGCTGAGCCCTAGCACCCCCTCTCCAGTTCTGACGAAGCCTTGGGATAACTGTAAAGCCGGCTTCTCGGGAGGGTTGGGTGCTGTTGCCCTGGGTCAGCTCCCAACTCAGCCTGGGCTGTAAGTGGGGTTTTAGTTCACTGCCTGAGAGTCCTAAGGTAGCATCTTTCACACAAAAGTTGGTGCCACTGTTAGCAGTTTATAGTCTAAGGTGGTGCGGGGGGAGTAAATGTGTGGACGGTGGGATCCTTGATGTGACTGACCATTTGGTGGGGAAACAGCCCAAAGGCACTTGTACGAACCCTGAGGGGACAGCACTTGCCAGACCCTACAGGTTCTGTGTCCCTTGCTGAGCCCAAGAGGGTGCACAGTAGGGTTGGACAGGCGAGTGTGGCCTGAGAAGAATTGTGGCTGGGGACAGCATCCTTGCACCTTCTTTGCATAGCAAGAGTCTGCACCCATTTCCCAGACCAGGAAGTAAGGCCCTCACGTGGCCTAGGGTAGCCTCTGCACCTGCAGCTGTTCCCCTCTGGTGTTCCTTCCTTCCGCCTCTTCCTGGCCCAGGCAGTTCCCACGCTGAGCCTGGTCAGCAGCACCCAGAGGCAGCTGTGTCCCACGTCCACTAGTCCTGTGGCCAAGGACTTCAGTGAGTGCAGCACAGAGCCCAGGCCAGCCCAGTGGGGAGGTGGGTGCAGCCTTGGCATCCCTGGGCCTGTTTCTTACCCCTGGACTAGGCTGGTGAGGGCTAGTGTGGCTCACAAGCCTGGTGACAGCCATTGTGGGTGGTGAGGGCCCTGCTCCCGCTCCCTGGGGGGTGGGTGTAGTCTGTTCTTACATGGCCTCCAGCCCAGTGTGGCCCTGATGAGACCGTGGTGGTTTTATTCTCTGCTGTTTGTCCTTTTCCTACCCTAATGCTCTGATATGCAGGTCTAGCACATAGATTGGGAGCCTGATGTATGCCCCTGGGTCTTCTCCCAGACCCTCAGCTTCTCCTTGCTTCTGCCACCCATCTCTTTGGAAACCTATATTTGGCACCTGCTCTGTGCAGAGCCTAAACAGTGGCAGCCCTGACTGGCAGGGAGCGTCAGAGGTCTAGGAGGTAAAGCTGCTTCCCCAGGAGAGCCCAAAACCCTGGCTGGGCCTGCCAGCTTTGCTCCCACACCCACCTGAGAGGAAGGAAGCAATAACATGCCCCCTCCCTCCTGCATTGAGGGGGCACCGCCTCTCACCTCCAGGCCTCAGTTTGCTTCTCCCTAAGGTGACCCCAGGTCACCTTCCCTGAGGGGTTACTGGGTGTTGTGGGTGGGAGCATGACCCTTCTCTCCACCCCCAGCATACTTTGCTCTAATCAAAATTATTTTAATTCTTTTAAAATAAAATGAGATTTTTTTTTTTTTCTCCCCTAAAAGGTGGAGAATGATTCAAATTAGCTAGCTGAGCATTCTGTCCTCACTCATGTTGAGATTGGAATCCAGGTTAAGCCAAAAACAAACTTAAATGTCTCAGCTATTGATTGATTCAGGTACCTGCTTCAGGCAAGGATGGATCCAAGCCTCTGTGCAGTCGCAAGAGTTTGTCCCCAGTGGTGGCTATCAGGCAGACAGTGTCCCCACAGCCCACAGTGTCACTTGCCCACATAGGAGAAGGGCTCTTTCTCACCAAGTCACTTCAGTCAGCGTTCCCAGGATGTCACGAACTAACCCCTGGCAGGGGCCTGGGCACTAAACTTCACAGACTCAAGGAACTACTTCCACCACCACCACCCAACATCAACCTGCCCTGGGACCCCAGCACCCTGGGGAGTTTTATTCTCATGATCTTGAACAGAGGAAATGAGATTCAGAGGTCAGGAGTTCTGACCTTGGCACTCACCCATCTCAGAGACCTGGTGTGTGTGGTGGACTTGCATGAGCCCCTCTGGGTCATCAGGGGAGGAATGGTGTCTATCCAGATTCCTGCTTGTCTGCCGGCCCTTGGGAAGACCAGACTCCCACTTTGGTTCTCTCACTGTTGTGCACTTGTGGAACCACTGCTTTCTGCAGGCATGAGCCGGGTGCTGGGGACATGACCTCCCTGGGATTGGCTCTGAGTGACCCTTTTTCCTCCCCTCCAGGCAAGGGTGGCGAGCGGAGCGCATATACTGCCTTCGGGAGAGATGCAGGTGTTGGGAGCTTGACTCAGGTGAGGTCCTGTCTGTAGGGTGGGGGCTACTGGGGCCCATTGGCGCTCAGCAGTCTGCAGAACCCAGAGAATGGGGTGGGTGGGACTCCACTTTTCAGACGTGAGGGGCATCATAGATAGACAGGTACTGTCAGAGAGGGAGGGAAGCTAGTGGAAGCTATAGTCACCGCTCCACCCACCCACCTTTTAAAATTTTAAACAAATTGGTAGCAATTTCCTCCCCTGATCTGCAGAAGGGTCCCTGGCTGAACCAACTGCTGGTCATTTTTCCAGCAGCTAAAATAGTAGTGGGACCTGGGGCATGCTGAGCTGGCCAGAAGTGAATGAGTGGGGAGGCAGGGAGGCCATAATCCTATGACTCCAAAATACCAGGCCAGCCCTGGGCGAAACTCATGCCACCCCAGTTGTGATGCTGACAGCACTGGCTGGCCACAGTGGTGTAGCTTTCTGTCCAGGTCACCCCACACACACTCCTGAGGGTTTCATTCCTGTCCCCTCCTGTGCTTTCTGAATCTCAGGGTGTGGCCATGCCTTATCCCAGGTGGCAACACTTGTGCTCACACCAAGCCTGTTCCAGAGTGGCAGCAGCCCTGGCTTTTGAGCACCAACTGCGTACCAGGCTCTGTGCCAAGGCAGAGCTCATAAGGCCCCCGTTGATCTCCACGACTCCCCTGAGCCAGTATGCCCATTTTACAGATGGGAAATGTCAGACATAGAGCAGCCACTCAGATGGAGCCTCAAATCCCAGTCACTCATAACTCCTAAGGGAAGAAAACTCATTTGAAACTAATCATGCAAAATTAAATTATCTACCTTAAAAAAAAAAAAAAAAGACATGCACAAACTAAATCAGCCAGATTTCACTGATGCCCTGACACACGTTTGCACATTTTACATCCCAGAATGCAGTTCCTTTTCAGACTTGGGTGGCAATTGTTGTTGTTTTTTAAGTAATGCTGATGTGTCAGGAGAGAAATGTCTCTAGCAGGGGTTATTGTCACCCTTGGACTGCCAGGCTGGGTGCTAGATACCAGCCTAGCTCCTGGTGATGACCTCCACCCTCACTCCCCTTCCCAGGCTGGTTTCCTGCCCAGTGAGCTGGCCCTCAGCAGCCCCGGGCCACTGTCCCCCTCAGGCGTCAAGAGTGGATCCCAATATTACTCTTCCTACCCCAGCCATGCGCGGCGGAGAGCTGCGGACAGCAGCCTTGGTGAGTGGGGCTGCTGGTAGGGCTGGTGGGGTGGGGGCAGAGAGGGGATCCGTCCCCACTGTGGGCCTCTTAGACTAGGAGATCAGATGAGTAGAAGGATGGATAGTGACCCAAGAAAGAAAGTGTATTCTTGTTATTTGCAAAAGTTCTATCATATCAAGTCACCATGAACACTGATTCCCTGCTTCTGGGGAAATGGGAGGATATGTTCTTATCAGTCTTTGGTCAACAGATCGACACAGCCTGTGCCACATGTATTTTTAGCTAAAGGCACCTTATTTCACATAAATCATTGCTTCATTAACGTGGAACTGGCCAGCGGTGCTATAACTCAAGCCTGAATGTCACTGATGTATATTTTTCCTTTTCTTTCACATTTTTATTGATTTTAGAGAGGGAGAGTTAGAGATAGAAACATTACTGAGAAGAGAGAATCATTGATAGGCTGACCCCTGCACGCCCCACACTTGGGATCCAGCCCACAACTTGGGCATATGCCTTGACCTGGAATCGAACCATGGCCTCCTGGTTCATAGGTCAATGTTCAACCACTGGCTGGGCTAACACATTTTTCATGTCCCAGTTTTTGCACCCAGAGACACTAGCCAGCACCAGGACACCATGCATGCATGGGGAGTGTTTTAAGCAACAAAACCACCCACAAAAAGCATGTAAGTCAGGGCTTTCAATAGACTAAGAAAAGGACCCTGGTTTATAGTCTTGAGCTGGAACTGGAAGACAGAACACCACCTAGTTCCCCCTCAGTGGGCACATGCCAGGTAGCCACCCATGTTTCCCCACTCTGTGCATGGCTGTGAGTGACCCCTAACACTGTATAATTTGGGGAATCCAGCTTCAGCAGATTTGCAAGTCTTGGATCTGTGAACAAAAAGGAATGACTATGGGTGTGGGAGTGGGGGTGAAATGGGAGGCCTTAGAGCAAGGCCCTGGTTCAGGTACCTATTGACTCCCTGCTGAGGCCCCCCCTCCTGCCCATGATTCTTGCACAGTATCAGTCCCTTGCATGTAGACCCAAGCCCTTATTTAAATTAAGAGGGAAGCTCAAGCTCTAGTTGGGTTGACTCAGTCATTAGAGCATTGGCCTGTGGACTGAAGGGTCTCAGATTTTATTCCAGTCAAGGCATGTACCTGGGTTGGAGGCACGCTCCCCGGCCCATGTCAGGGTGCATGTGGGAGGCACCAATCAATGTGTCTCACGTCCATGTTTCTATATCTCTTCCCTTTCTCTTCCACTTTCTCTAAAAATCAATGGAAAAATATCCTTGAGTAAGGATATTTTAACAACAACAAAACAGAATATGTGGAGTTCAGGGGTCTCCTCACCAAGGTGCAGGGGAAGGCTATCCCAGTGATAGGCGTGTCCCTGGGCCTGGAAGGGCTCTGGATGAGGCCAGGAGCCAGGCTGAACGGGGTGGCTCACTCCTTATACTCCTAACAGATACGCAGCCCAAGAAAGTCCGGAAGGTGCCGCCTGGTCTTCCATCCTCGGTGAGTTGTGGGATGCAGCTGAGACCCCACAGTCCACATGCCTCCTGCCCTCCAGGTTTGGGGGCTGTCCCTGCTGGAGACTACACAGTGTGTCTTTGGGGCACTAGGCTGTGTATGCTGCTGCAGCCGGAACATGTAGATCCACGTGGCCGCCTGAGTGTAGGCATGTGGGTTCTCTTGCCCCCAAGGACTCAGCTCTGACCAGAGACTACTTCTTTGGGAAGTTCTTTCTGAGGGTTAGTCTCGATACTCTTTAAGAAATCATGTCCTGTGGTGTCTTAGGAAGGATATGGATGGGGTCCTGGGAGTGGGAGTGAGTGGGAGCACCCTGACAGCCAGTTAGGAGGTCTCCTTGCCCTGTCCACCCAGGTTTGAGCCACCCTGTATCCCCACCCATTGCCTGTAGGTTGGCAGGGTGCCAGGCCCAACAGATGGTGCTGTGCCATTCGAGATTTAATCATGGGAAGAAAAGGCAATTTGTCTGTTTCCTCAGTTTGGCTCTGCACCAGCCTTCAGGAGCCCCTGGGCCTAGGGGTCAGGCAGAGCCCCCACAAGCTGACCTAGCCCATTCCAGGCAATAGGCTTGGGTGTTAGTTGACATTCTACAGCCAGGAGGCTTAAGTCTTAAGGCTTGACTCCTGATGCCATTTATAATGTCATTGACTCCCCATTTTCCTCACCTAAGTCCCCACTCCAATTTCCTGGAGCTGACAGCTCCCCAGCCCCTCCCCCCACATCCTGCTTGTACTCGGTACCCCTTTTTATACTCCAGTGTTGGGACAAACATTACAAGTTGATCCCAGCGCTTTCTCCTGGGCCCTGCCTTAGTTTTAGGCAGTAACCAGTGATCAGAGTTGGCACTGATCCTAGAAGACCTTTGTTATCTCTCTGCTCTGGGTTACCCTGGATGGTAGTCCAGAACCCTGTCTCTGAGGCTTCTGGGTCTTGCATGTTTAGGGCTGAGGCCAAGGGAAGTTCCAGCACTGGGGGAAGAAGGAAGGGCTAGGGCATCACAGCTGAGCTTTGATCAAAGGAATTTGCTGACTTTGATATGCAAAAGATAATAACTCACAATGTTAATATTAAATATTCTTTCAAAATAAAAAAAATAAATAAAAACTCAAAAAAAAAAAAAAAGGGAATTTGCTGGATTAAGGAGAGAAAAGGAATTCTGTGCAGGAGATTCAGCTCAGGGAAACGGGGTGGTGGGGTAGACTGCTGTCAAGTGGAGGACAGGACTGGAGAAGGGGTTGGCCAAGGGATGGAGGGTAAGTTAGTCCTACCCCTTCTATCTGACCATGTCCACCTGCCTTCCCACAGGTATACCCACCCAGCTCAGGTGATGACTACGGCAGGGATACCACCCCCTACCCATCTGCCAAGACCCCCAGCAGCACCTACCCAGCACCCTTCTACATGGCAGGTATATGGGGGCTCAACCAAGATAGCTGGGACAGGGCCCAACCCCTCTGCCTGCTCATTCCATCTCCCCCTTTTTGCAGATGGCAGCCTGCACCCCTCGGCTGAGCTCTGGAGCCCCCCAGGGCAGGCGGGTTTCGGGCCCATGTTGGGTGGGAGCTCATCTCCCCTGCCCCTCCCACCAGGTGGCGGCAGCTCCGTGGGCGGTGGTAGTGGCGGAGGGTTTGGCGGCCTGCATCAGCACGAGCGCATGGTAGGCCTCTGGATATGGGGTGGGGGCGTGCATTTGGGTAGAACCCTATCTGACCCCATCTCATTCCCTCTGACTTCATCCCACCACAGGGCTACCAACTGCACAGTGCGGAGGTGAATGGTGGGCTCCCAGCTGTGTCCACTTTCTCAGCCCCCACAGCCACCTATGGCAGCGTTGCCAGCCACACGCCCCCTGTCAGTGGGGCTGAAAGTCTCATGGGTATGACCCCCTCGCCCTACCCTGATGTGGCTCTTGTTATTAACAATGTCCTCCCTCTCAACATCCGCCCTCTCTGATATTTGAAAATGGCTTGTTACCTTGAAACACTTTCCATTTAATTCCCTCTCCTGCCTTTTGTGCTATTGTTGCTGTTTTTAATGATACTTATATTTTAAACTACACACACAGAAGTTGGATCTTTAAGGAGTGGATTCTCCCACTTTACATTTAGGAAAACTGTAGCTCGGATTACATTTGGGAAAACTCCAGGGTCCACTGTCCCCAGAGCCTCCATGGAGGCAGGTGGCGAGACATCAGGCAGGAACCAGTCCAAAATCAGGGGCTGCTCAGTCCTGGGCTTGGGCATCCATGCCTAGCAGCTGAGTTTAGAAGGGAACTCCCTGTCAGTTGGGGCATCCAAACTAAGCCCAGGTACTGGTGCACCAAGTCCCTGAGTTTGGGTCTTACCTCTGTGCACCCACAGGCTCCCGAGGGACCACAGCTGGCAGTTCTGGGGACGCCCTTGGGAAGGCGCTGGCCTCGGTGAGGCTCAGGGCAGGGGGTAGGGTGGAGTGGGTGGGGGTAGCAAGGGTGGCTGGGCCATGACTATGAGAGGCCAGCCCCTGACTGGCTGCCTGGTGGCCCTATCTCTCTCTTCATCCCCGTTGCAGATCTACTCTCCGGATCATTCAAGCAATAACTTTTCATCTAGCCCTTCGACCCCCGTGGGTTCCCCACAGGGCCTGGCAGGTCTGTACAGGGGGGGGGGGGGGGGAGAGGAAGGGCACTGTCTGCTGCCTACAATCTGGAGCAGGTGGGAAGGGGTTGTCAGGCTGCAGATAGGAGTTAGGGAGCTAGACACCACCTGCCTTGGAGTGTATGTGTCTGTGGGCATCCAGGGAAGCTTCCAGGAGGAAATTTCTAAGCCAGGATTCTTAGGTCACGGCATGGGCAAAGGCAGTACCCAGCAATTTGTGAGCATAAGGGGCACATGAGACTCAGTTGGGCCAGGTCAGGGGCGCCCAGAATCAGAGCAGCTGACCTGAGACTCACCTGGGTGTTTGTCCACCCAACGGATATTAGTTGGGCACCAATTGTATGCCCCATGCTTGCTCTGTCAAAGGGGTCAGGTCTTCCTGTTTCCCATTCCCTGCAAGCATGTACCTGAGGAGCATCGGAGACGGAGGAGGGGGCCAAGGAGGAGTGAGGGCCGATTTCTGGAAGACCTGTGTGGCATGGCAGGACTGGGAGGAACTGGCCTCTAGGACACCTACTGTGTGCCTCTGAGCCGGCACCTTCCCTGTGGGGGAGGAGGGGTTGTTGATTCTGCATATGGAAAAACTGAGGCCGGGAGATGTGAATCTGCCTGGACCTGGCTGGACTTGAACAGCTCTGTGGAAGTGGACGCCCCCTTGTGGCCAGCCTGAGTATCACAGATCTCTCAGTTTTCTCATCCCTGCTTCCCAAATTCCTTCTTCCCTCTCCCTCCCTGGGTCAGGCTACAATATCCTGCTTCAGGTCCTCCCAACCCCATGTCTCCCCTAACCTTTCCAGGGACGTCACAGTGGCCCCGAGCAGGAGCCCCCGGTGCCTTATCTCCCAACTATGATGGGAGTCTTCATAGCCTGGTGAGCTTCCTGCTTGTCTGGGGGGAGGATATGCCTTTGGGGACACCCTGGGGAGGGGATGGAAGCGTTTGTGGACAAACACAGGGGAGGCAGCCCATCGGGGGCAGCTCAGCATGTCTGCTGTGGCCATGTTTCACATGACTTTGAAACCGAGTTCCATAAGAGCCATTGGGTCTCATGTGACCAGCAGAATTTGCATTAAGCCCTAGGTGTCCTTTTGACAACAATGAACTTTGTAGTTAATAGGTTGGGAATAAGCACTGTCTCCATGGCCAGCCAAGGCTCATGTTTCAGGCCAGACCACACAGGGCTGGGCAGGGGAACTGGCAGCCAGGTTACTCACCCCCCCGCCCTCACAGCAGAACAAGATGGAAGACCACCTGGATGAGGCCATCCACGTGCTCCGTAGCCATGCCGTGGGTACCTCGGGTGATGTGCACGGGTTACTGCCCAGCCATGGAACACTGGCCTCAGGCTTTGCCGGCCCTATCATGCCACTGGGTGGGCGGCACACCAGCTTGGTAAGTGCTGGGCAAGGGAGGGGCGAGGTGGGCGGTTGATGGGAGCCTGACCAAGCCCTGACTCACCCACTCCTGGTCTACAGGTTGGAGGCAGCCATTCTGAGGATGGCCTCTCAGGCAGTGGCAGCCTCATGCACAACCATGTGGCCCTCCCCAACCAGCCCAGCGCCCTCCCCGACCTCTCTCGGCAACCTGACTCCTACAGTGGTAAGTCCCAGCATCGGGCCTGAGCAGGGCAGCCAGCATCTCAGAGTCATCTGTGCTCTGCCTCCTAGGATGCTCAGTCACTGGGCATCACTTCCTCAGGAAAACAGGATGACAGAGAGGGCTTGTGACAGACTGCATCAGCCAGGCTGGGCTAAGTGTTTATTCTCTGTTGGGCTTGGGATTATCCTACCTCCATTTCCAGTTGAGGAAACTGAGTCACCGGAACGTTTGAGTGGAGGCCAGGCAGGTGTGGTTACCGTCACAGGCACCTGGAGTCCTAGAAAGGGTGGCAAATTCACCTCCCATCTTCCAGAAGCAAGGTGGAGCCGAGGAGTCTTGGCATTGGCACAGGGTGATGCTGTAGCTACCAGGGCTCCTGCCTTTTTATTGACTCACAGTGTAGTGAACTGAGCTCACCCAACAGGCACATATTCAGTGCCAAGTGCTGTTGTTTCTCTAGACTCTGGGGAATAAAACAGCAAATCCAACAGAGAGAGCCACCCCCCCACAACCCGGGGGTGGGAGGGGGAGACAAAGGGTATGAGAAAATGGGGAGGGGGTGCAGGTGGATTGTAGATTTTCTTTAATGTTTTTTTATTGATTTTTAGAGAGGGAGACACATTGACATGAAAGCCAATCATTGATTGGCTGCCCCCTGCATGCCCACCACCGGGGATCAAGCCCGAAACCTGGGCACGTGCTTTTTTTTGGGGGGGAGGGGGTACGTACTCTTGACCTGGAATTGAACCAGCAATCTTCTGGTGCACAGGACAATGCCAAACCAACTGAGCCATACCAGTCAGGGCTGGGTTGTAGTTTTAAAGATAGTTGGGAAAGTAGGGTTGTGAGCAGAATCAGGGAGGAGCAAAAGCAGGGGAGGCCTAGAGCAGAGAGAGGGGACAGGGGAAGGTCCTGTGGGACCTTAGGCCACACAGAGTGTTGGGCTTTTATTCTGAGAGAGATTGGATCTCTGGAGGGCTCTGAGCAGAGGAGGCACAGGTCCAGATGGGGATACCCTTTGGTGGCTTTGGTGAGGACAGGCTGGGGAAAGGCTAAGGCAGGATCTCACTCAGGTGCTCACTGCTGCCCTCTGATGACTGCTGCTAGGAGGACAGACTTTAGGGACCAGGGAGGAGCTGGTCCAGAAGGAATAATGGGGGCAGGTGCTGGGCCTGGCCGAAGTGGGTGGGTTTGGGGTATTCTGAAGGCAGAGTCCACAGGACTTGCTGATGTGGAGGTGATGATGGGAGTTGGGTCTGGAATTCAGGGTGAGGCCTGGGTATCATTGCATATGATGGAGTTCAAAGGCAAGAGCCTAGATGGGGCGATAGGCATTGTGTAGACAGAGCAGAGCCCAGGCCTGAGTGTCAGGCCAGATGGGGAGAGGCACTGAGTGAAGTGAAGGAGGGTAGACTGTGTCAGACACCAGAGTGAGGACCTAGACTAGGGGTCAGTGACCTGGGCAGGGGCAGCACCAGTGGAATGCTGGGGCATTACTGTCCAGGGTCAGGAGTGGGAGGGGTGAGGTCTAGAGGTTTTCTTTCAAGACTGAATAGATAATGTGTTTGAAGGTACTGGGGCCAGTGAGGGGAGGCCCTTGGTAAGCGGGACAGGTGTCCATTTGGTAGAAGGTCTTCACAGAAGAGGGAGAAATGTGACAGAACTCAGAAGCACCCACCAGGGATCAAGGGCCTGGGTCTCATTGTGGCCAGTTCTAGGCTCAGTTGATGCTGGTGCTGCTGTAGCGGGGGAGAGCGAGGCCCAGGGAAGGTCCAGGGATCCCTCACCATGCAGTGGCCAATCCCTGACTTCTACCTACCCCATCCTTGTATCAACCTAGTGAAAAATATACATCATGTGACACTAGTGTGATGTTGGTATGTGACAAGACTGCCTAACATACCAAGCACCCTGGGATCCACCATGCAGCCCAAATTATAAAAAGCAGGGACGCCGAAACCGGTTTGGCTCAGTGGATAGAGCATCGGCCTGCAGACTGAAAGGTCCCAGGTTCGATTCTGGTCAAGGCCATGTACCTTGGTTGCGGGCACATCTCCAGGAGAGGGTGTGCAAGAGGCAGCTGATCGATGATTCTCTCTCATCGATGTTTCTAGTTCTTTATCCCTCTCTCTTCCTCTGTAAAAAAAAAAAAAAAAAAAAAAAATCAATAAAATATATTAAAAAAAAGTAGGGCCTCTCATGCCTGCCTGGGGACCCTCCCCATCCTGTCCCACCCCAAAGCCAGCTTGGCTTTTAGAGAAAGTCAGTGCTTTCATGTCTCTCCATACCCAGAGTTTCACCCAGGGGCACCAGGCATTTGTGGTTCTCATGACTTGGGAGTGCTCCCTGGCATTGAGTGGGTGGGGGCCAAGGATGCTCACCACCCCACAACGCCCAGGACTGCCTCACGGAGCATGACCCAGCCCCAGTGTCCACAGTGCTGAGGCTTTTATGCGCAGATTCTTTCCCCTTCCCCTCAGCTCATCCATGGAAGAACCCTGAGCTATTTCCTGTGGTCGGCATTTTGCCATTTGTACCCCAATGTAGTTGAGTTCAGTGTAACTGTTTCCCCTGAAACCATATATTTTGTTTACATGGTTTTTGAACTTTCAAAAATCAGCATCCTGCAGATGTTCCCTTGCATCTGTTTGCTTGCTCATGCTGTCTGTGAAGTCCGCCACCCTGTAAGTGGCTAAGAATGGGCCCAGGCCTGACCTAGAACGATAGGTTGCTTCCCACTCTGTTTCTATCAGGTGCTTTCTGGAACCTTCTCCTGGAACTTCTTGATGTGATAATCCAGATTTCTATATAGCCATATCCGTTTCTGTGTCTATGAAACACCTGCTCCATTTTTTGCCCTTTTCCTATTGATTTGTATGAGTGGAGATCTAGCCTTTGCTGATTTATACGTGACAAGTATTTCTATCATGTAGCATATCTTATTTTCTTAGATATCCTAGTGATCTGAAATTCTCAGAGTACAACAGTCAAATTTATTGATTTATTTTGGAAACAGTTCTTTAGTGCAGCGGTCACCAACCTTTCGGACTCATGGACCGTCGGTTGGCGACCGCTGCTTTAGTGTTTATAAATTCTTTCTCTGTCCCTAGGCCACATTGAAACTTTCATGCACGTCCTTCTAAAGGTTTCCTTAATTTTTCCGTAATTAAGTGCCTGCATGTGGTGTAAGGTAGATGGGAGGGGTGGGAGAGCTCTCGTCCCTCCTAAGAAGGTCTAAGGGGACTTGCCAAGTGGCCCTGGAGGTGGCAGTACCCTAACCCCCAGCCTCTTGCAGGACTTGGTCACAGGGGCACCGCCTCAGGTACCAGTGAGATCAAGCGGGAGGAGAAGGAGGATGAGGAGAACGTGTCGGTGGCCGACAACTCAGAAGAGGAGAAGAAGGAGCTGAAGGCCCCCAGGATCCGGACCAGGTGCCAGCCCCTCCTTGGTCCCTACCCCACCTGTCAGGACTCAAGCATACGCACACAGTGCTCACACCAGTGGCGCTCACCCCGCGAGGCATCCGGCGGGCCCTGCGCCTGTTCCCCGTCTCACTGTCTCCCTCTGGCCCCCGGCCTCCCCCCCCCCCCCGTAGCCCGGAGGAGGACGAGGACGACCTTCTCCCCCCAGAGCAGAAGGCTGAGCGGGAGAAGGAGCGCCGGGTGGCCAATAACGCACGAGAGCGGCTGCGGGTCCGAGACATCAATGAGGCTTTTAAGGAGCTGGGGCGCATGTGCCAGCTGCACCTCAACAGTGAGAAGCCCCAGACCAAACTGCTCATCCTGCACCAGGCCGTGTCGGTCATCCTGAACCTGGAGCAGCAGGTGCGAGGTCAGTGGGGGCGCCGCTCCCCTCCCATCGCCTCTGCCCGCGCTCTCTCCTTCCCCTCCGAGCCCCTCTCCTGCAGTGACTGCCCCCCTGCAGTGACTGGCTTCTCATAGGGACCTTCTCCCTGCAGTGAGCATCCTCTTCCAGTCCCTGTCTCACACACACACACACACCCCTCGCCCCCCCAATGACCGTCCTCCCACCCCAAACCAGCTGCCTTCTGCCTGGCCCCAGTGTCCCCTCTGGAATGGGAGGATGAGACTCTGGACCCCTAATCCTACGGTCCTTGGCACTTTGGCTCTAAGGACCCCAGTCCTTCCACCTCAGGAAAGCCCCAGATCCTGGCCAGCAATGGCCTGTGGTCCCCTTGGGCCCAGAGGCTGTCTCTGAGCAGATACCTCTTAGGACCCCATCAAACCCCATCTGCAGGTGGAGTTTAACCCCTTTTCCCAGGGCTGGGAGATTTGGAAATCGCCCTGTCCCGGCCCCCCTCCCACCCCATCCCACCCCATCCCATCCCAGGTGAATCCCTATCCCCACCAGCTGCTTCCTTAACTCCTCCCCGTCCTGCGCACCCATTAACCCTTTTTCTCCTGCAGCACTGTCGCTTGTACTGGAGCTGGGGCTCTGGCCCACCCTGCACTGTCCTCTCAGGTTTCCGCATCTGCACTTGGTGTGGGCGTCATGCCGTGTGTGTCCTGCATCCTCTTCTCTGCTCTGATTTCTGTGCTCTTCCCCCACCCAGCCTGTCCGTCTCTGCTTCCACCGGCAGCCCCTCCTTACCTCGCACTTGCTGCCCAAGCACCAGATGGCTAGTAGCAACCTTGGGCCCTTTCTTCCCTCAAAGCCACCTGTGGAGACTTGAGGGATGAAAGGGGACCGAGGAGCACCAGCCTCTGGGCCTGGCTGTCAGTTTGGTCTGCGCGCTTGTCCTGGGCTCCGGGGCCAGCAGGCAGGGTGAGGGCAACAGCCCCCCTCCCCCCAGCACAGGAGCAGGACAGGGCACCGGAGGTCCAGGTTCCCACATCTTGGGCACACCATGTGTCGGGCCTTCTTCCTTTGTCTTCAGCTGAGTGTGGCAGGTGTCCTGATTTCAGTTAGCCCCAATCCTGCCAGAAAGAAACATGCACAGAGTGAGGTCACTTACCCAAAGCCACATGGCCACGCAGCTCCTCGGGCCCAGGCTGAGTGTAGCCCACCGGGAGGCAGTGTCTATGCTTCCATTTAGATTCTCATGTGGCAACAGGCTCAGCTCAGTGCTGGCACACACCGCGCTCCATAGATTGGAGCCGCCGCGGAGCCCCAGGCCCAGGGAGCTAACTCCCACCCAGAGTCAGACTTATGGGCAGGGTTCATGGCGGGCACTCGAGGGCCAGCTGTCAGGGCAGCCAGAGTCTAGTGTGGGAGTCTTGGAGGGTGTGGATTGGTGGCTCCTTGTGGGACTGAGTATCCTCAGCCATTCCCCAGCCCTAGAGGTCTCCCCAGGCCTTTGCCTGCTGTGGCAGTCTCCTGATCCCCTCCCACCCGGCTTGTCAAGCCAGGCAGAACCAGCCTCCCTCACCTCAGGTGACTGCTCCGCACGGGGAAGGTCGTCATCCCAGGAGGGGCGCCTGGTCAGTCCTAGGGCACGGGGGATGGGCAAGCAATAGATGGAAATCAGACCCACTTCCTTTCCCATGAAGCCTCCTGGGGACAGGTGGGCTTTGGTCACGTCTCCAACACAACCACACACATCGCCTGGCCTGGGACTGGTCACGGGCACACTGTAAGCTTCCCAGTCCAGGAGCACATTTTCTTTTTTTCTTTCTTTTTTTAATTTATATTGATTTTTTACAGAGAGGAAGGGAGAGGGATAGAGAGCTAGAAACATCAATGAGAGAGAAACATCGACCAGTTGCTTCCTGCACACACCCCACCGGGGATGTGCCCGCAACCAATGTACATGCCCTTGACCGGAATTGAACCTGGGACCTTTCAGTCCGCAGGCCGACACTCTACCACTGAGCCAAACCGGCTTCAGCGAGGAGCACGTTTTCATGGACATGAGCATGCACACACCAGGTACACGCACTTACCCTATGGTGCCCACCCACAACACAAGCCACAGACCTGACCCTGCACTGCCGTACAGCGCGCACACACACACACACACACACACACACAGCCAATGGGTGCCCTCTCCACGACCCTGGCCCTGCTCACCCACCTGCCCACTGTTCAGCCAACCCCTGCCCCGCACATAACTAACAGAGGCCCTGGTGCTGTGACCCAGCAGTACGGAGGAGGTGCTGTCCCTGGAAGAGAAAGACCTGAGGGACCGGGAGAGGCGTATGGCCAATAACGCGCGGGAGCGGGTGCGTGTACGGGACATTAACGAGGCCTTCCGGGAGCTGGGGCGCATGTGCCAGATGCACCTCAAGTCGGACAAGGCGCAGACCAAACTGCTCATCCTGCAGCAGGCCGTGCAGGTCATCCTGGGCCTGGAGCAGCAGGTGCGAGGTAGGCGCCCAGGCCAGGAGTCCCCACCCTCTTCCCTTCCCACCTGCATGCCAATGGTGCTACTGGAGACAGGTGTGCGCTGCTCCTGGGCTCCCTCCACATCTCAGACTCTGATGTCCCCCAGAACACCCGACCTGTTCTTTATAATTTACAACGCCCCAGCCCTGTTCAGCCTTCTCAGTGAATGGGAAACAAGTCAAGAAAGGGAGGCAGCCACGTATCTGAGGGCTTTTGCCTCTCCCTCTGGCGCTCTGCCATGCTCCCCGCTCCCTGCCACCTCGTGTCCTCCCTCTCTGGGATCATCTCCCACAGTGCTCTCCCTCTACCACCAGAACGTAACCTCAACCCCAAAGCAGCGTGCTTGAAGCGACGGGAAGAGGAGAAGGTGTCAGGCGTGGTTGGAGACCCCCAGATGGTGCTTTCAGCAGCCCACCCGGGCCTGAGCGAGGCCCACAACCCTGCTGGGCACATGTGAAAGGTACGCCGCCCGCCGTGGGATGAGTGACCTGACCTCGGTCTAACCTGGAATGGTCACACAGCGTGTTGGGTCCATCCTCAACGTGGGCCGGCCAGTCCACACCTCACATACACCTGTGGTCAGCATTGAGCCTACACCAGCCTAATAAGGCTTCGAGGGATGGGGGCCCTAGAGGTGACAGTGGGTCAAGGAGCCTCCTGGAGACCCTGCTGTCCCCGCCCCCAGGCCTCAGCCCCCCACATGCTGGGACTTGCCTGATGGATCCTGAACCTGCATCTCAGCCTTGCTACCAAGCCTTGGCTGGAAGGAGCTTTCTTTTTTGTTTGTTTTTGTTTTTTGGTAAAAACTGGAACACAAACAAGAAATAATACACTTCATCAGAAAAAAAAATGCCTTAAGTATAAGACATGGAAAAGATAAAACATATCACTTGGAGAGACGCTGTGAAAAACTGGCTTGTTCTTCAGAAGCCACCAGCAAATTGTGCCTATGCCTGTTTTTTTTTTTTTTTTTTTTTTTTTTTAAGGAAAATAAAAACGCTAGTTATGAAATTTTTTTTTTAATGTAGAAGAAAATTAGCAAGAAGGTTGCCTTGTTTTTTTGTTTTTGCATATGTTTTATAAGCAACAAATGTTTTGTATAAAAGTTCCGTGTCTCTTGTATTTCTGCTGCTGTTTCTAGAACTGAGCATTACATTTCACGATCAACCAGATTAAAAGTTGTATTTAAAAGACTCCACTGTAAACCTGAGGTCCCGCCCCTGGGAGCCCAGCCGTGGGTCACAGAATAGGTGGGTGGGTATCATTTCTTTAGATATTTGGATTTTGTTTTCTTGCTTTGGAGTAAAATGGGCCTTTCCCCAATGGGGGCCTCCCCACCCTATCCTCTCCCTCCAGGAGAGAGACCCTGTGAAAATGCCAAAGGTCCTCCAGGTGTCACTGGACCCCAGGCACCTCCCCACACCTTCCCTGGAGCCTGCAGTCCTCCAAAGTGGGGAGCTGTGATGTTACCCACATTCCGGGCATGTGGACTGCGCTGCTGGAGCACGGTGTTGTGGGTCTTCCCAGACTCCGTGTCTGTCCTTCATTCCTTTGACCTGGGGACCCAAGCCCCATTCTGCACTCCGGCAGTGGGGCAGCAGCTCGAGGCCAGCCTGGAAAACTCACCCCCTGCTTACCACACCACGTGGCTGTCCTGGGGTGGAGGGGCCAAAGATAAAGCCATGGACAGAGCAGGGAGAAGGTACAGGGTCCCTATGCCCAGAAAAACCCCAAGGCTATGCACCTGCCAAAATTACTGTCCAGCTGCAGAACTAGAGGGGGCACCCTCAGGTTTATGTGCCTGGTGTCCCAGGCCTCCCTAAGTCCCCTCTGGTCTTCCATGTCACGAGGAGGTCTGTGTCATCCCATGTTTACACTGACCATCTGCATCCCTGGATCCCTGCAGTTCCCAGGGAAACCGGAATGGTTGGCCTCCCAGGTCTAGGATCAGGCCTGCTGGGGTCTTGGTTTCCTTATTTCTCTCTCCCTACCCTCCTAAGAAAAGAGGCCTTAAGGACCCCCCGGCTGGCTGCATTCACCCCACCAATAGCAGCCTTTCCCCAAGACTACCCTCCCCAACTTCCAGAGCCACCTGACCCCCATCCCAAGTGCCCTCCCTCCCCCACGACTATAACACCCCAAGGCTGGGAGCAAAGTGCCCTGCGAGACCTCCAGGGAATCCCATGGCCAGCACCAAGCAGGATATTTGGGCTTGAGGCTGGGGCCACCTCCTGACCCCTGACATCATGGAGGTTCTCCTCTGAGGTCTTCCTTCCAAAGCCCATCAGGACAGTGAGGAGCCATCAGCTTGCAGGGTGGGGGGTGGTCTCTGCCTGGTGACTCCCCTGGTCTATTGGTTACTGTTTCTTGGGGAACCTGCCTCAGTTTCCCTCTTAATTCTGCTTTTGGTCTTGCTGAAGGCCCTAGTGCCCTGGAGGTCTGCAGACTTGAACTGCGTCTTACATAAAGAATTTAAATTATCTAAAATGCGATGAACCCAGTAGGGGAAGAAGTAGCATTGGGGGAGGGAAAAACCACAGTTAAGGGGGATTGTGCTCTGAGTGCCTCAAGATAACTGGTTTAAATTTTTTTTAAGAAAAATAATTTTATGGAAGTGTCCACACAGCTGGCTAGATTCTTTGGAAATTTTAAATGACCCCTTTAAAGTCAATGTGGAGACCTGTCCTGTACATGAAGCACTATAGCAATAAACGTGATGTCAGACAATGCTCGCCGTCTCCGGATTTCTCAGGAGCTGTGTGCTTAGCAATGAAGGGGCAAGGGGCAGACAGGAAAGTGGGAACCTGCAGCCAAGGTATGTGCCCTTGTCCAGGAATCTAACCCTCAACCCTTTGGTCTGTACGCTGGCACTCTAACCACTGAGCAAACTGGCCAGGACACTCACTGCCTATTACTTTTTAAAATAAATAATGCAATACTTGGACTAACTGTTTTTGGCTTGGTGGATAGAGCATCAGCCTGTGGATTCAAGGGTCCCAGGTTTGATTCCGGCCAAGGGCATGTACCTTGGTTGCGGGCATATCCCCAGTAGGGGGTGTGCAGGAGGCAGCTGATTGATGTTTCTCTCTCATCCATGTTTCTAACTCTCTATCCCTCTCCCTTCCTCTCTGTAAAAAATCAATAAAGTAAAATAAAAATAATAATGCAATACACCCAAACCCATGGAATTGTCGTATTAAAGGGGTAAATGGCACAGTATGTGAATTATATCTCAACAAAAGTGTTTAAAAATACTTCTTAGCCCAGCTGGTGTTGCTCAATGATTGGATGTCAACCCATGAACTGGAAGGTCAGGGTACCATTTCTGGTCAGGGCGCATGCCTGGTTTGTGGGCTCAGTCCCCAGTAGGGGGTGTGCAGGAGGCAGCCAATCGATGATTCTCGTTTCTCTCCCTCTCCCTTCCTCTCTCTGAAATCAATAAAAAAATTTTTTTTTTAAATACATCTTAAAGGTGCCTAAATCCTCACCAAGTGAGGCATTCCTTCTCTGTCTCAGCAAGGGTTGGCTCCATGGAGATTTCTGGAAGGAGAGTCTGCTTAGCTCAGAGAAAGCCTGTGGGCAGGAGCTGGAGTTCAGGGAAACAGAACGATGGGTATGTCCATGTCTTGACGGTAGCGATGTCGGTGTGTGGTTTGTTCGGTGCCTATTGCATACCTTCATCCGGGCCTCCAGGCAGCCCTTCCAGTTCTCCGGAGCCAGCCACACAGGGCCAAGGCTTGATGAGGACCCGCTGAGTCCAGCCTCCTGGACCAGCCCTGTCCCAGGCCAGGGAGGGAGGCACATTCCATTCAGTGGTGGGCGTCCTCAGAGGTCACTGTGCTGCAGCAGCTGACGTTGGACCTGGAACCCGTGAACACAGGGCCTTACAGGCAAACCTTGGAAATACGCTGGGCTCAGTCCCAGACCACCGCAATGAAGCAAAGCTATAACCATTTTGCTGATGGAGGGTCTTGCCTTCAATTTGGGGCCTAAAGAATGCCCTCTCTGGTGGCTACATGCCCTTCTGAGCTTCAGGAGAAGCCTCTGAAGCCCCGCTGAGCCCGCCTCAGTTCAAGGAGGCACGAGATGGTGTGTGCGTCGTTGAGGAAGGAAAGGAGGACTGGACACCTAATGAAGGTCCATAAGGAATGTGTGAGAACTCTGGGACTTAAGCTATGAAATGCTGATATGCTCTGTGAATGAGTAATTCCTGGAAAATGGAGATGATTTCCCAGAGGAAATGAGATTAAAACTTGGACCCAGCCGAAACCGGTTTGGCTCAGTGGATAGAGCATCAGCCTGGGGACTGAAAGGTCCCAGGTTCGATTCCGATCAAGAGCATGTACCTTGGTTGCGGGCACATCCCCAGTGCAGAGTGTGCAAGAGGCAGCTGATTGGTGATTCTCATCAATGTTTCCAACTCTCCCTCTCTCTTCCTCTCTCTAAAAAAATCAATAAAATATATATATATATATTTTTTTTTTTAAACTTAGGACCCAAGAGTAAATTTAACATTCAACATAAAATAAATGCTAAGAAAAGTAAAGGGGAAAAAACGATTAATTGGGGAATTCCCTGGTCAAACAAAAAATACGCAACATCTGTGAAGTGCAATCAAGTGAGGACTTGCATTTGAAAACAGGCTTTGCATATGTAATCAAGGAAAGGATCAGAGATGAGGTCATTTTATATTATCAGGGTGAGTCCCAAATCAATGACTGTCCCTATAAGAGGATAGGGGAGAGAGGCCTCAGAACCAAGGAAGCAGACTGCAGTGATGTGGCCACAAGCCCAGAGACACTGTAAGCCCCAGTAGCTGGACAGGGAAAAGGGACCCTCCTCTGGGGCCTCCGGAGGGAGCACAGCACAGTCCTGTGACGCCTCGATCTCGGACTTCTGGCCCCAGAACTGGGAGAGGTTAAATTCTGTTTCTAGCCAGCTGGTGAGCGGAGTGGTCAGTTGTATGGCATCCACAGGAAACGAATACAGTGTGTCCTTGTTAAAATAGTAAAACAGCCAACACTGGTTTGGCTCAGTGGATAGAGCGTCGGTCTGCGGACTGAAAGGTCCCAGGTTCGATTCCAGTCAAGGGCATGTATCTTGGTTGCGGGCACGTCCCCAGTCGGGGCTGTGCAGGAGGCAGCTGGTTGATATTTCTCATCAATGTTTCTAGCTTTCCATCCCTCTCCTTTCCTCTCTGTAAAAATTCAATTATATATATATATATATATATATATATATATATATATATATATATATATTTTTTTTTTTTTTTTTTTTTTTTTTTTTAATAGTAAAACAGCCTGACTGGTGTGGTTCAACTGGTTGAGCATTGTCCCATGCACCAGGAGGTTACCCTTTCAATTCTGGTTAATGCAGGTGCCCAGGTTTTTAGCTTGACCCCCAGTAGGTGGTGTGCAGGAGGCAGCTGGTTGATGTTTCTCTGTCTCCCTTCCT